TTTTTTTCTTTTAAATCATAACTAATCTTAAAAAGACCTAACAAATCTTGATCTCAAATAAGTTAAATATTTAAGGATATTTTAAGATTTTTTTAATTTTTAAATATCAAAGATGAACCGCTTTTGTTACCAAAAAATGTGGACACAATTTTGAATGTACATCCCGTCTAAATATCAGTTTTATTCTAAAATAAAAATTGCACGTGGTTTTATCCAATTTACACACCTTTTTTTTGAAAGAAAAAATTATTCAATAAGATTGAAAGAATTAGTTAAGAATTATACAACTATTTGTTTCCAAAATTTGTATCCAATTTGTACGGTTTTTAAGTTAATTTGTATTTAGAATTGTTTTCATAAATAATTGACACATTTTTTGCGTAAGAATCTCCAAATTTGTTACAAAAAATATATGATTTAAATTTTGATAAAAAAAAATAAAATATGATACGAAAAAAATGAGATTCAAATTTAGGCATAAGAATCTCCAAATTAGTTACCAAAAAAATAGGATTCAGATTTTGTTACTAAAGATTCACATGTATTTTTTTGAACTTTCCATTAATAGTAAGTCAAACATTATATTTATTTGGTCACTTTCTATTAATGTATTTTTCCAACAACCTCTTTATATATATATAGATATAGATTCACATATAAACTGACCAAGTATCTTTTGTTTACCGTCATATCCCAACAGCATCAAGAAGTTCCGAATGTTGAGAAACCGAAACAAGCGAGTTTGCAACAATGGCACCACTGGCAGCAACTGCTGGGACACCAATGCCCGGAAAAGTCGAGTCCCCACAGCAAAAGAGCTGTGTAATTGGGGTCGAGTGCCCGGGAAATGAACCCTTGCCAGCTTTTATGGCCGGGCCATAAGTCCCTCTATTTCGTCTAAGGAACCTTTGATGAGTTAGTGGACTCCCAACCAACTTCACCTCGCATTTTTCCCGGTCAAAGTCTCGACCAACAGCTCTCTCCACAGCTTTCCACATTACCTGTTGCAGATAGCACAACTTCAAATGAGCACAAAATTAACTGCAAGTGTGTACCTTTTTTTTAAGAACTTGTCATTTTTCCGGAATAGGAAAGTAATAAAAAGCCAAAATGTGTCATGGCATCAGTTAAAGTTTAGGCTATGTTTGGTAGACAAATAAACTAGCTTATTTGTGTTAGCTTATAAGCTTCCTGTATTTAAATAAGCTTGGTAGGACAAGCTTTTTCAAAAAGCTCGAGCTTATCTCATAAGCTTCTTTGGGTAGCTTTTCAAATAAACTAGCTGAAATTTTTTATTTCGGCTAGCTTATCAGCTAATTTTACCAAACACTTTTATCATATAAGCTAGCTTTTTCAGCCACAAATTATATAAGCTATAAGCTCGAAATTTATTATAAGCTATAAGCTAGCTTATCAGCTATTTTTACCAAACATAGCCTTAGAATATTCGAAATTTCAAACCATAAAAATGCCACTATGAAACAACAAAATCAACGAATTTGAGCTTTGAGTTCCTGAAATTCAAATTCATTAAGCAAGGGAAAGAAAAAATGACAAGTGAGTAACAATACCTCACTCCTTTGAGCTTTGAGTTGCTTGTATTCACTACTCTTTCGGTCGAGACCCTCCCAAAGCTCAAACGGCTCAGTCCCAGGTGTGTAGGCATGTAGCACGTGTTTTCCAGGTGGCGCAAGATCGGGACTAAGCACACTAGGCACTGATATTAAGACCACGTTTTGATCGGAATCGACTCCCCTCTCCCAGTCATTAACAACTATGTGATGAATTCCGAGGTCTTCACGTATACCCTTAATCATGGTGGGATTACAATAATAAGGAAGTGCAATAAAAAATAAGGTAGAAAAAATGCAAGGGACAATCTTTAATAATTTTGAGGGAATGGTTTTTATAACGTGGATTTTAAACATTCTAGAATGAGTAATGGAGTATGTATCACAGATTTGGCAGACATTGTAATACTGAGGAATTTTCTGTCCATTTTTTATCAAAACTATGGACATCACAGTTAAAAATGTAATAAAAAATTTTCTGTCCATTTTCAACAGAAAGAGAAAGGAAAAAAAAAAAAAAAAAACAGTTTGAAATCATATGAAACTCACCTCAGCATCGAAGCCCAAATGCAGATGCATAAATGATTCACATTGTGGAGTCTTTTCAATCCCTTCCTGATAAGATTTTGGAACAACTTCCTTTGGCAAAAGATTAAGTGTGTCCCACATGGATGCGTTGCTGACAACGGCCTTTTTAGCACGAACAAACTGAATGAAGCAAAAATCCGAGATTGTTAGCTGATGCAAAAGATCTGGAGATGATAAGAATTGTTTTAATTGATTTTCACAAATTGTTTCAACTTTTTGACAATTTTCCAACTCACTTGTCCGCCTCTCAGCTTAACTCCTATGGCTCGACCATCCTCAACGACTATATTCTCCACATGACTTCTGAGAGAAAGACGGCCATTAAACTTCATCAGACCTCGCACAAGAGCATCAACAACTGCCCCACTCCCATGAAGAGGATACTCCAGACAGCACCCTGGTTTGTACCATTCTGAAAACATATATATCTGAAAATAAAAAACTTCGAGAGTAAACACACACCTAACCGAGATAAAAATCAAAGATGGGATTAAAGATTATGTTAACGAGTAAAACGATAGTGTAGAGTTCTTCTTACACCAAAACAACACATAAGGTAATCAGAATAAGAAGAAGCATATCATCAAAGTTTTACAATGTAAATGAAAACTTGGTAAAAAGAAGAAAAAAAATATATATTATTACCATCTCAGCTGAAAGTATGCCATCAGATTTCACCCCAGCAAGTAAAAAGGAGAGAAGGTCCACCCAATTTCTTATAAATGGATCTTTTAGACCCAACGAGTCAATTATTTCTGAGAAGGGCCTAAGAAGCTTTGTGGCACCTAGGGCTCCCTTGGGTCCCATTTGAGCAAAAGATTTTAAGAGAGATGGTGCGTATCGAGCGCCAGCTGTTGAAAGAACACCGATGTCACCTCGTATGGAAAGAGGAGGAAGGGCCATTGCAGCCGCTGATAATGGAAATATTGCATCCTATATATAATGAAAATGAAGTTAGTACAAATATTGCATCCTATATATAACGAAAATGAAGTTAGTACACACACACACATATATATCACCAAAAGAAACCAATTAGCTGAAAAGTATATCAACACGTATATCTAAATTGAACTTCGAAATGTTTCTGAAGAAGATCAAATAATAATAAATAATGATAACAACAATGATAATAATGATACTGACAAGAAGTTTTTGCCATTCTTGCACAGCATCTGGACCAGCGTATGTCTGTAGATCCTGCAAAATAAAAATCAAGTCAATATTGTTGCCTTCTTCTTATTATCAAACATCGAGTTCATGAATATTTTAGAAAATATCTGGCGAAGTATTTTGGTTACGAGGACAAAGAAATAAAATAAAAAGAGCAATACCGTACATTTCATTTTACTCATTTTTGTAACATCCGCATTTTTTGTTAATCACTTTCAACTAGAGCAATACCGAAGCATCGGGGAACAACTCTAATTAATCAGTTATCAGATGCTTCTTTGCATCAGAAAAAGGTACTACCACTTTTACATCAGTACTTAGTTGCTAGTTTATCCTTTTTCACCTTTACTCGTTTTGTATGATTTTCTCACCTATGCTTGAGAATGCTAAACTCACTAGAGGAAAGGTGTTAAAGATATCAGAAAACATGAAAACTTTTGCCCATGTTTTGCTATGGAAACAAGAGATAAAAGACAAGTAGCTTACCTTGAAAAATTCGGTCGGGCCAATGCGTGACAAGAATTCACCTTCTGGTATGTATACCATCCATGAATCATAGGTTGCACATTCGATAGTTTCCCCCAATGCATCAAGAACCTTCAAGAATAAATCAAGAAGAAACTTCACTCAATTCATTTATAGTCACATATCTTACAGCTAAATCAAAGAGACACCTTATACCTTTGTGGTAAAATATCCCATTAGTTAGGGGGTGCTTGTTTATAATTTTTATTATATCATTCTCAAAATCTAACTCAACTTTAACTTAACCCCACTATCCTCAATATTCTCAATATAATTAAAAAAATATTAATCAATCATTTTTTAATTAACCTTCACTTTAGTTATTTATTTTAAATATTATTTTAAGATAAACTCAAAATCCCACAAACAACTAACCATACCATCTTTTTCAAAATTAACCTTGATTAACCAATAAAACTCGTTTTGAGTGTGATATATATGTATCCAAACACGCCCTTAGGGATTTTTACGGTGCCATGCAGAATTGTATACTTAAATACACTAAAAAGACGAAGTAATACTTGCGTCAGAGGGTTCGCCTGAGGACCCCTCGACTGGAAGCCGGAGAACAATGATGGGCCAGAGTCGAACTTGTAGTCTTTGATCTCAAAGGAATGGGCAGCTCCTCCTGGAGCATCATGGCTTTCAAGCACTAAAACATCTTGATTGTATCGAGCAAGAAGTGCACCACAACAAAGGCCGCCTATGCCACTCCCAATGATTACTACATCTGCCTCAGGTTTGCCTGCACATCATTCTGCACTCACACTATAAAATTTGCTGTGCAACTCGAACCATCTTAACAGAACAAAAAATAAAAAAATAAAAATAAAAAATACTCTTACTATAAAAGGAATTGGTTTCAGTTCATAGCAATTTCGGCTATGGAAAACGAGTATCTTTCTTTATGCAGGGTCATTAAATAGTTTTCTGTTTGCTTTTAGCTTGAGTCGGAGATTACTTCCCAATATACGCATCTCTTTAAAGAAGCCAGTGACTCTATCAAAATGTAAAGGTGCAATGCATGGGTTCGAGCCATATAAAGGAAAAGTTAGATGGAGACACTCCATCAATCCAAGCTTTGGAGGGCTTGGATAATTATTTCTGAACTGAACCATAATTTCATTGGAAATTTCAAATATATGAAAACAATGAACATGTCGTTTTATGAATGCCAAGGAAACATTTGATAAATCTTTCATTCATCAAACTTATGGTGGCAAAGGGTTACTGTTACTCAACAGACCACCTTTCTGGGCTCAGCAGTTCAAGCTTGCCCTACTTAATTTTAATAAGTTCCATCTAAAGAACATTAGAAAATTTCACTAATTATCTTGAACAACATAAAACTAATTATAAACAACTCTCACCACACGCTATTTTATCTTAAAATGTGCGTCTTTTGTGCGGGAGCAAGAAAAAGGGAAAAACAGAAAAAAAGGAAAGGAGAAAGAGAAGGGACCTGGGAACTTTGGAGCGAGAGCTGGGGAGGGATAATCGCCATTGTTAGGATTTCGCGCGAAAGCAGTTGGGGCCCTGCATTTGGGGTTGAAAGCGGGTGAGGTCTGAAGTAAAGAAGGGGTAAAGTTGATGGCACTCAGTCCGAGCGCCATGGATGATGACTAACAAGCAGATATTCTCTCGCTCTATCTCATTTATTGAGTGTAGTGGTGATGATGATGATGTGGTGTTGAGTTGAACACGACGGCCATCAACTCTGAGGAAATGACCTTCAGATCAATTCCTTTGACCCACAAAATTTATAAAAATTAATTCAAAACTCCATAATATAGAAAAATACCCTTATGTCTTAAGCCCTATTTTGTAGTGTTAATACCACTAAAGATAGTCTATTTAATGGCAAATAAAATTGTCATAAGTCAAAACTAGTACGTAACCCGTGCGATGCACGAGATGTAAAATTTGGAAGAATAATATAACCTCACGTGCATTAGGATCGAAATTGAAATCATTAAAATACATAGGAACATTGTTGAATCATAAAAAGTTCGGTAACAATCATATATTATTAAAAACCTCCTTGTACACAATATTATGATTTATGAGTTTGATTATTTGGTAACTCCTCACTATTGAATTATTTATTTATATAAAAAAAAAAATAAAGTGGACAAAAATAAAAATAAAAAATAAAAGAAGTGGAAAAAAATCAAAAGCACGTATTCTCAGAATACGTTTTACAAAACAAAACGTATTCTGAGAATACGTTTTTCTGTTAAAACGTATTCTGAGAATGCGTGTTTCTTAAAAATAATTAATGAAGGTGATTAACGTAATTAAATTAATTAAAATAGGCTAAAACGTATTACCGAAATACGTTTTTCGTATAAACTATTTAAAATTAATATTTTTAATTTTAAAAAACTTATTTTTTTGGAAAATAATATTTGGAAAAATATAACGTATTCTCAAAATACGTTTTTTAACCAAATTTGCCCCAAATTGATTTCGCCCTAATTTTATCCCCAAATCGATTTTGACCTAATTTTACACAATTGAAAAACGTATTCCCAAAATACGTTTTTTAACCTAATTTTACCCCAAATTCATTTCGCCCTAATTTTATCCCCAAATCAATTTTGCCCTAATTTTTCACAGTACAAAAACGTATTTTGAAAATACGTTTTACTGTGCAAATACAGCAATTCACAAAAACAAAATTACAAAAACACACCTGTTAATCGAGATCGATTCCACAACCAAATATAAATTCACAAAACCCATATCAACCATGTCAAAGAAACAATAATGAAGCACAATAATTCACTTTCCAAATATAAAAATCCAAACAAGTTCAAATATAATTACACATAAATCCACGAAAGAAAAAAATAAATATATAGGTCTACAAAATGTCTCCGAATACAACACAACTAACTAGGAGTGTATCGATTCGTAGGGTTGCGCGGTCGGTTGCTAATCCGACGCTGTGGTGGTTGTCCAGAAGACGATGCTGTGGGCGTGGTAGGTTCTACTTCTTCTTCTACAGCTGAGTAATTCAGTTTTTTAAGAAATCAGAAATTTGACTTAACAAAAAATCACAAAACAAAAATAAAATTATATTTTTGTTAACTAAAAGATGTTTACCTTGTTCTTGTTGTTCCTCAGGCCCGGCGTCGGCAACTGGTTCGCGGTGACGTCGTCTTCTACCTCCACGAATATGGGGAGGAGGTTGATGCCTCGCTCGGTGTGACTGCGTCCCCTGGGGTTGGACGTAGCTCTCTTGTGATAAAACTTGGCTTGACGACGTCCCTTGACCGATCTCTCCGCCTCCGACAGTCAGAGATGTGTAGAGAAGGCTCTTGGCATATTGGATTGCCGCCTGCATCTCCGGATGGGCTGTATGATATAGATGCTCAACATTGGATAGCACGTTATAAGCCCCCTCCATGCCGCTAGCCTGAAAATTTAATTCAAAGTAATTTTTATGAAACGCAAAAAATAAAATAATAATAGAAAAAAAAAAAAACACACACACACACACAAATTATAAACACTTACATCGCACTTCCAATGCTCGGCAAGTGGCTGATAGCCTCCGTCTTGTTGTACCACCGGGTACTTAGCAGGGCCACTGATTAGTCTCACAGTCCTGCTGTGAAACCAATCAAGGTAGCCCTCGCCAGGCTGTACGAATGACTCCACACGCTCATCTGGGAGGACATTTTGGTGTCGTTCGACCCAAACATTCCCAAACTGGGAATGAAAGTCCACCCAATCATATACGCCCCTCCCGGTCATTCCCTGGCCTCGGTGGTGTGTCTCCCAGTCGACCTCACTCGTAATGATCGGAGTGTCGGGAATGGACTGATGACACCCGAACTGACGGAGGACTCTACCCGGCTCCTGGGTTTCACGGATGTCCCAACAGAACATCCAGCCCCTATACATCCAGAGGCTTGAATGTTCTGTACACTGGCCCGGGAGAGCATTAGCATTCAGAAGCTCTTCACACGGCATCCAATCGAACTGTAAAAAACAAAAAAAAAATAATAATAATTTCGTAAGTTATTAAAAGATAAAACACATAAAACAAAAAATAAAAACCAAACAACTACTTACATCCGTCTCTCTTAACCCTGTCAGTTGGTCCCGGACAGCGGCTGTTCCCGTTACTATATGTTTCGTGTCCTTCCGTCCCACCCACCTTAAAAATCACAGAAAAAAAAAACATCAGAAATTGTAATTAGAAAATTGATAATTGAAATAATAAAATTATAAAATATATAAATAAATATCGTTACCTTCCATCTAAAGGACAACCAATGACTGTTTGAAATCTCGTATCCTTCATTCTCGGGCGAAGCCGAGGGATACGTTCCCATGCCCAAACCTAGAGATATAGCCATATTCATTTGTTATTAAATATTAGTCTAAATTAGAAAAAAAAATGAATTTTGAAATAACAATTAATTAAATGTACCTGAATCAATTGGACACAACTCTTGATCCAGCCTTCCCCGGTCTGGTAGCTCGTGCACAGCGCTCTATACACTGCGGCCAGTAGCGCCGACCCCCAGCTGTACTCCTTGATCTTATCGATGTCGCGCAAGAGCTGGGTCCAGTACAGGTTGACTCCAGAGGCCCTCTGATCGGGAAAGAAGAACGATCCAAGGCACCAGAGGATAAGTGCCCTCGCCCTCTCTTCGTAGGTCTCAATGTCTTCTCCATCTTGCAGCACTCTGTTGCATTCGTTTTCCAACCTCGAGTGCTTCAGATACTGGCCTACGATGCCCCATGTTTTGGGGTTGGCTGTCGGGTCGTCTGCTTCCTGAGAGTCATTTGTATATTTAAAAATCAAACAATGGATTATACATAAAAAAACAAAAAATAAATAAAAAAAAAATGTGTTAAAAAATTTACCTGGGGGTCGAACCCTAGAAGGTCCACACACTCGTCTCGCCATTGCCGGTTTGTAAAATCTACAGTCTCTCCCCAGCAAGGCTTTCCATCTACCGGGAGACCAAACAGGACTTGTACGTCCTGGAGCGTGATTGTGGCCTCCCCGAAATCAAAATGGAAGGTGTGCGTCTCCGGTCGCCACCTTTCGACCAGACAGGTAATTAGGCTGTTGTCGGTCTGGACTCTGCCCATCCGAAACAACGGCCCAAAACCCGTCCTATCGATCACCGCTAAAACCGCCGGATGTTGTCTGTCCAACACCTTCCAAAATTCAGTATCGTTACGGCGGTTTTTAATGGTGCCGTTACGACATCCTTCTAAATCTTCATATACCGCTCTCGACCGGTGGCGGTATTGAAGGTATAAAAAGGAGCGATCAATCGGACCGGGGCGTACATTCAACCGTTGAGGTTGTGACGAGGACGATGATGCCATTTTCTACAAATAAATTAAATAAACAATAAATTCACAAATAAATTATATACATAATAAATTCACCAAATCACGAGAAAATTCACAAATCACGAATAGATTCACAAATTAAACGTATAAATTCACAATTTCAACATTTCTTAAATAATTCGAAGCTCTAATTCACAAATAAATTATATACAAGAATAAATTCACAAATACGTTTTTTTAAACAATAAAAATTCACAAATTCACAAATAAATTATTTACACAATAAATTCACCAAATCACCTAAAAATTCACAAGTCACGAATAAATTCAAAAATTCAACACATCACAAATGACGAATAAATTCACAAATTCAACATATCGTAAATAATTCGAAGCTCTAATTCACCAAATAAATTCACAATTCACGAATGAATTCACAAATTCAACATATATCAAATAATTTGAAACCCTAATTCGCAAATAACTTCACAATTCACGAATAAATTCACAAATTACTACAAATCACGAATAATTTCACTCTCTAATTCACAAATAAACTCACAAATCCCAAATAAATTCACAAATTCGAAACCCTAAATTTAGCCCTAATTTGAGGTATTGAATGAAATTGACAAAATTAAAGCCATAATCGAAGGAATGTACCTTACACCGTGAAGTAGGCGAGGCGGCGATGGCAACGGACGGCGACGGCGACGGTAGCGGACGGCGACGGCAGGTTAATTTTTTTTTTTTTTTTTCCTTCTGTTCGGTTCCCCTCTCTGCTCTGCTCTCTCTCCTCCTTCCCAGTTTCAGTTGGGATGTTCGCGTAAGGAGAAGAAGAAAGACTTTTTTTTTTATATTTAATGGTAAAACGTATTCTCAGAATACGTTTTACCTTTATTTAATTGTAAAACGTATTCTGAGAATACGTTTTACAATTAATTATACGTAAAACGTATTCTCAGAATACGTTTTAAATATTAAAAAACATGTAACTAAGGATCCCAGATTCGGGACTCGAACCCGGGTTCGGGTGAGTCCGTTATCTCTGGGGGCACCTCGTTACCATTAGGCCGCACTAGGCTATCGCTGCTATTGTTACACAACTTTTGTTCTTATCCTTCAACATCAATATTTTGTATATTATATAGTATTTATAATATATACATATATGTTATAATTTATATAAACATATGTATAATATATAGTATAGTATATAACATATCTATACGGAGCATAAACTTTACCCCCAAATTTCTCTCGCGACAAAAACCTAACCCTCCTCTGCTCTCAATTTTCCGGCGAATTTGCCTTCCTCGGTGACGCTCCGTCTCCGGCCAGTGGTCGTTTCGGACTGCTCGGCCCGGCCCTAGCTTCGCAAGTTTCGATGTCCCTGCAGGTGTCGCGATTGGAGACCTTCTTCATCGTCGGCGAGTTGCGTCGTG